TATATATATATATATATATATTTAATAAATATGCGATACTTAAGATTCACATTAGATAAAAAATGGTTGTGTACAAAATAATAGGTACCAAGAATCTACATAATATGAAATTCTTTTAAACTTTAAAATATTTTGTAGTTAGATAAATATAGGCAAAAAAATCATCAATTAAGTTGAACAATCCAAAATATAAAAATTAATTTCCGAAATTGACATTCTTTATTAAATAAAAAGGAATTATTAGTTGTGACTATAAAATATGATTTTGTAGATAGATAAACATGGATAAGATGAAATTTAACAATTAAGTTGGCATGACTTTTCGGAAAAATTTCAAAAAATTCCAAAAGTTTTATTCGTTAATTGATTGACCTGATTTTTGTAACTAAATTTACACGTTTGACCGAAAAAAATTAAGGAAATGATTGATCGGATATTTGGGAAGCAAGATTTTCAAGACTTTTTTTTTTCATTATTGACTAGATTTACCCGTAGAATTTAAGGAAATTATTGTCCATATTTTTAAGAATTAAGGTTTACTCAATATCTTTCTCAAATAATAATTTTTTTTTTAAATGAAATCCTTTCTTCGATCGATATGACTTGCGTTGTTTGACCGAAGGAAAAATTAGACCTCTTCTCTGCGAAAGCCGTTGCGCTAACGCGCATCCGTTTTCTTGCTGCTTCGTCCGAAGCCCAATTGCAGCTACGCCTTTTTTTTTTTCCGAAACGATAGATGTATTATAAATCAAAACGCACAACAGTGCAAAAAAGCAGCCCAAGGCTGAATATTACAACCAAGAACTAAAAACTGGGAGGACGGATCGAAAGACCGCCTAGAACCTCGCTAGCCACGCTAGAATAGAAAAACCTACTACAAACAACTAAAAGACACCAACACAACTAGGATCGCTCCCCACGGGAGAATAGGATCGCCCCCCACGGGGGAATCAGAGCTACGCCTTTTCATAAAGCGCTTACTCCAAGTTGACCGGTGCCCCCCTGGTTCCCTACTTGCCGGTTATCGAGTTCCTTCGGAAGGGATTGAGCAACATATTTATGTTATTAGTCAGATTCTGAGGGGGCAATTTAAATTCGAATTTTCATTCAGCCGCCATTTAAAAAAAAAAATAATGTTATTGTGTATATTTGTGAATTTACTATATTAGCCTTAGGTTCTCTTTAGGTA